GTTGGCGGGAAAAATTGCTGATCACGCCTACCTCACTCAACTTTCCCCCCTCAGCGCCAAATTACATCAAAACGGAAGAGCAGGTCGCCAACTTTGGCTTGCTCAAGGGGAAGAAGATGTTGGCACTGGCCGTCCGCCCGTCGTGTTTTGATTTGAGAAATAAATTCTACGCATTTTCTGAGATTGCTGTTCTACCAAGTTTTAGCTGATTTGGAACAGAAATAATAAGTAAATTAATAGTTTTAAAGTTAATTAAAAATGATCCAAGTTTCCGCTGTTGGCCGCTGCAAAATGTGAAGCGCCACCAGCGCAGACGATTTTTGGCAATAGAGTGATTGTTTTTAAGGCTCAACGACGGGAAGGGACTACTGGCGCCGTCTGTCGGGTTTTAATTGACAACGACAACAGCATGTAGCGCCACGCACGGATTAGTTCACTGGCGTCTTATGTTTTTGCCTCTCCACACAAATACATGCTAAACAGGCCATTTTCAAAGGCCGATTAATAAACGTTGCCAAGGTCTCTTGGTTTCAAACAAAGACTCATTTTACGCAGAAAGACTTCTAGTTTAACATACTGAAATTTCAGGTTGCTGAGCCATTCCAGACAGGGTCAAATCGACGATTAACTCTTGGTAAATTATTGTCGTTTTTGTGCATGTGCCATCTAGCGGAAGGTTTGAAAAACTAACAAAATTTAAAAGAAAAAATGCATTTTTCTTGTTGACATTGAATTTCACATCTGATTTGACGCCAAAATGTCTTTTGTAATTGAAATTAATTAAAATTAGATAGAAATCAACACAAAAAGAAGCAAAAAACAAAACATGCGANGACAAAAATTTACCAAGAATCAATCGTCGATTTGACCCGGCCAGGAATGGCCCAGCAATCTGAAGTTTTAGTATGTTAAACTAGAAGTCATTCTGCATAAAATGAGCTCTTGTTTAAAACTTAAAAACCTTGGGAACATTTATTAAACGGCCTCTGAAAATGGCTTGTTTAGCATGTATTTGTGTTGCGAGGCAAAAACATAAGACGCCAGTGAACTAATCCGAGCGTGGCGCCACGAGCTGCCAAGCCTTGTTGCCGCTGTCAATAACTAAGGGAAACGCTGCCTGTGTAAAATTGCCGCAACATCAGTGGCATAGTTTTGAAATGACAAGTCTGAATGACCGCGCGACAAACTGCTACAGCTTAAGACATTGACACATCCAAATCACAGCATTCATTGACGTGAAAAGCATTTGCGCAACAAGAAAGGCTCATCTGAGTAATTTATCAGTGGTTAACTTAAGGTTTTCTGGGGTGTTTGATTACTAATATTGGTACTTTTTGTTTTAAGCACTCAACCCATTCTTTAAGAGAATTTTTTACAAACATTGAAACAATGTCTGCCAAGAAGAGACCATTTACGGCATTTTCAGTGGCCGAGACTGCTCCTGCCGTGAAGATGATAATCGTTCCTTCAAATAACCAAACACTCCGAGTTGGCAGTACGATTCGGGTCATTACGCCCATTTCTGGCCAAGATCCTAATCAGATGATTGTTGGCAAGCCAATGACCATTCAGCACACTCCTTCAGGAATGAGTCAAACTGCTGTGCACGCTAATAAAACTGCCACCAAATCGCCCGTCAAAAACGCCATCAAACCGCCCAGCGACGGTGGTGTTTAGAGTTTCTACGACAAAGGCATCAGCTCACAAGAAAAGAGATTTTTTATCAAGTTGGAAGATGAGGAGAGAAAGCTCGATGTCAGCACGCAAACTGTAGAGAAGGAGCTAAGCGGCATTGTTATTGAGAAAAGTGCTAGCTCTAAGATATTTGACTCGGAAAACAAGTAGAACATTTCGATTAAAAGCTAAGTCAAAGATTCTATGAACGTGGAGGAATCGGCAAAGAAGAACTCTACCTTTGAAAATGACTCTGTGTTGGACCATTCCGAGATCGACTACACTCAAAAGTACACCGAGTACTAGCGTTTTGCTGACTACGCCAACAGTATTTTGCCGTACATTCTCTTCAATAAGCGCAAGCACATGGCCGATTCTGTCTACATGAATGGTCAGCTGAACATCAACGCCAAGATGCGATGCATTCTCGTCGATTGGTTTGTCGATGTCGCCGACGAGTACAACATCAAGGACGAGACACTTTTCCTCCATTTGACCTGCATTCTGGGCATTTTATCTATTTAGCTATTAATAAAAGTGATTTGTGCAATTCTTTTTTGTAATTATGTTTTAGTTTGAAAACTCCAGTTGCTAACTGAATTCAAGATTTGTTGTCAATTTGCGCGTTTCAAGTATTTCTGAATACGCTGTTTATTGCTTGGCAGATCTACTCACTTTTCACCAGTTCGTCAGACGGCGCTAGTAGTCCCTTCCCGTCGTTGAGCCTTAAAAACAATCACTCTATTTGGCAATTTTGCACGATTTTCAAGCAGCGCTGGTGGCGCCTAACATTTTGCAGCGGCCAACATCGGAAACTTTTAATTAATTTTAAATTAATTTCAAAATTCAATTTAATAAAGTTCCCGTTTTCTTAGAGCAAAAGTTCTCTTAGATTTAAAATCCTCTCGACGAGTACTTTAAGAATCTGCAATAAAAATTTTTGTGCAATTTTTCGAAAAAAATCTACAAGGCTATATAGCCTTACAGTTTTGGCCGATTTAATCAAAAAATCTGACCACCTTGTTTTTTGGCCTCATTCGACGCAAGACGTTTAGCAGAGTATCTCTGAGCAAACAGAACTTTGGCGGCTGAAGTACTTCCCGAGATATCCGTTTTTAAAGTAGAGGGAGAGGAAGAGGCCACGGGCTTTGTTGTCTCTTCTTTTCTTTTCAGTTTTTTCTTCCCTTCTTTCTTTTTTGTTTGAATTATTTATTAAACCAATAAAACACAATTTAAATGTGTATTTAAACTTGTCTTTCATTCATTCATTCTCAATCATCCAAACAACAATACAACAAAAGTTTACATGTAGTCCCTTTAATTTGATTCCTTAAACACCTTGAATAAGGATAAAGAGGGGGATCCTAACGGGTGCTAAAATGGAGACAGTGTTTGAAGCAAGCAAACCAAACAGAAACATCAAAAGTAGGGGGGTCCTGAGAGGGATCGATTTTTTAAATTTTCTTCTTTTTTTGAGCTGACTGTACATCGAGTACTGGTACCTGAAGAGAGAAGAGAGAGAGAGAGCATGAGTTTAAATAGGTCAATGGTAAAATGAAATGCCAGTTCGTATTGAATATCAACAGAACGGGAAACGAAAGGTCGCGCATGTATGATGAGGTCCTGCTCGAGGACCTCGCCGCGGACTTTATAAAGGCCAGTTTCCGGTGAACGCGGCGGTGCTGCTGCTTCATCGACTGGTCCATCGTACAGCGTCTCCAGCTTTACGTAGGCGGCGCTCTCCAGATTGTGGCTTTAGAACAAAAACAAAAAAAGATCGTTTAGAAAAGGATCGCAATTTATTAACAAAAAATTACCAAAAGTAAAAATTAAGTTTACCCAACACAGATCAGTCAGGACTAAGGAGAAAAGAGGCACAATTTTCATGATTTTTGCCAAAGTTTTCCAAAAAACGATGATTTTAGCAAATGAGACCAAATCTAAAGAATTTGCTTTTTTGCACTACTAAAGTGTGAACTGAGTGCACACCTACCAACAAGTGAACGAAAAAATCAAAAGAACTTAAATTGACAGAAGAAGATTTTGTTGAACTCTAGGTACATCAGCAACACATAAAAGCGCGGTTAATCACCGGATGCACACAACTTCAAAAACTTTTTTAATACATTCAAAGAACTTGGTCAGTCATTCGGAACCAAAGCACAAATCAATTAATTGTCAAAATTACACACTCCAGTGAACACCTGTGGATCTGTTCTGCACACTTGATTAACCTAGCATTAGCGCACTTTTCAAAGCGTTTATAAGGCACCGCCATTTATGTAATAATGATTACCTAGTTTGCTAAAAACAATAAAAAGTGCTAAAACAAAAAATCAAATAATCAAAATGCATTCAAATTTTTCAAAACTTTTATCTCTTTTATCATTACTCTTATTCACTGTCAACTGCCAGGAACCGGTCCCAAACACCGTCAACTTTGTCGGCCATTACCGACAGATATCTGCGACCAACTACGACCAATTTCTCCAGGAAATTGGAATTCCTGGGTACACCAGTTTTTTAACACTCATTTTAAAATTATTTAACGAAAATGTTTATCTTTTTGTCAGTTTCAAACGCTCCATCGCCGCCAAGCTGATAGTGGAAATTGCCATCACTCGACCCTCAGCTGGCCCCGAGAACTCCTACACCGTCCGCTCAAAGACCTCCTTCACCGACACCACCAACACCTTCACCAGCGGCGTGGAGTTCGAGGAGGAGCGACCGGATGGAACGCGAATTCGATCGATAATTACCATTGAAGGTAATCGGTGGACGCAGCTGCAGAAGAGCAGCCCACCGGTCACCGTGGTGCGGGACTTCTACACCAAGGGCATGGTCATCACCATGACGGCCAACGGGGTGTCGGCGGTGAAGAAGCTGAAGAGGCTGAAAGAATAAACTTTTTATTTTTAATTTTGGTAATAAAACTTATTCCTAAAACTTTTTTTAAATTTTCGATAAAAATTAAAACTTTAAAACGGGTATGTTTTTCACAAGCACACACATATTTTGTTTTTTTATTTTATGTTTCAGTTTTTATAAATAAGAGATTTGCAAATGGAGTGATCGAGAGAAAGTAACAAAGAAACAAGAGCGAGCAAAACTGCTTGTAATGACAAAACTTCATAAAAACTGAAGTGTCCAACAGGTTTTTATTTTTTCTTGCTCAAACAGACAGACAAACAGACAACAAACCTGAAAAGACTGCTGCTGTTTAAAGTTTTGTTGTTGTCGTTGAAGGTGGGATTGTTCCTAGGGGGCGTAGCAGGTGTTGACCGGTTGTGTTTCCGAGCATTTCCGAGTTCATCTGAGTTTATTATTTATTCCTCCTCATCTCCGTCCTTCACCTCAACCGTCTCCTCCTTCTTCTTCTGGCTCGCCCACTCTGGCTTGGCTGGACCCTGATTGATAAAAAAAGGTTATTAAGTTTTTCAAGGTTATCATCAAGATATTAAAGTTCTTAGGTGAATCCTATCATCAGCAGCGGGGCACTCACATCTTTGTTTTCCTCCTCCATGGTGAACTTGGTCGACTGGACGCGCTTCAGGTTGTTGCGGAAGTCCTTCTCCGCCTTGGCGGCAATCTTCGCCATCTTCTCCAACTTGCCGTCGTACTTCGCCACCTTCTTCAGCGAGGGCTTCACGCTGTGGTGGTGGTGATGATAACAAGCACAAATAGAATTAAAAAATAGTATAAAGTGAAGAAAAAAAAGATTTGACCGTACAATTTGCCGCGCAGGTCGTTCACCTGGATGGTCAGCTCGTTGATGATAAAGTCCTTCTGTCTGACCTCGTACTCGAGGTCGTACTTGCTGTCCTCCAGCTTCGCCATGCGACTGTAGTACTCGCGGCAAACACTGGCCAGTTTGTCTGGTGCAAAAGAAATGTAGATTAGAAGGCTTTGATTTATTTATAAAACACTTTTTTTGTGCTGGTACCCTGGCTGAGACCGTCCAAGTTCTGCTTGGTGCCGATGCGCTTGGCGATGCCCTCGCGACGTTCAGTCGCCTTGCGCTCCTGTTCTCGCTTCAGCTCCTCGGCGGCTTTTTGACGAAGCAGTGTCTGTGATTTACATTTTTTTGTGTTAGTTTTGTTTAAGTTAAAGTTTAGGTTAAAATTTCCACTCACCCTGAGCTTCTTCTTACGCTCCGGCGTCATGAAGCCCTTCTTGCCCTTCTTGGCGCGGGCCGCTTCCTCAAGGCGGGCGCGCACCTCTG